CCACTGCTAACGGGGCAGACGTAAAGTCCCAAATTACAAAGCCAAATGAGACAATATTTCAAAATCATAAATGGTAATCAATCCAGTCTGTTTTTCAATAAAAAAAAAAATTTAAATGGTGAAGAAAACGAAGAAACATAACAAAGATTTTAAATCTCAGACATCCAAGTAAGGATAAAAGCAGCATAAGCTGTCAAACCCGGCGACGGGCAAAAGCTCTTAGGCGGCCACCGAGAATATGCTTGCTCTTTGGATGCGATTTCACCATCACATTACAATAAGAGCACAAAATATGGGAAATAACATAAAAATATACAATCTGAGGAACAAAATCGGTTCAATTAAAAGATAATTACAACCCAAACTCCGAATTTTTCAGAATATGCCATTTGTCTGTCAAAAACAACAGCACTGAATCATAGATCCAAGGAAAATCAAATGATTTGACAACACTAATTTCGCATACAAATCAAAATCCACATTTCTAGGTGCATCGATTCTCATAAAACAAAGATCTGATTGGTAACTGAGTCAAATGCAGATAAAAACACAGATCCAATACAAATCACGAAGAATCGCAGCGTAATAGTCACAGATCTATCAGAAACCGAACAAATCACAGATCGGAAATGCCAATGTGCATACGAACAAAATTGATGGATAAATGTAGAGAGCGAGGATACCTGGATGCCATGCTCAAGGCAGTAAAGCTCCCAGCAGGCATTGCCGACCTGGATACCAGCCTGGCCGATGTGGATCGAAATGCACTCCCTCATCTTTGCCGATCGAAACCGCGATACGAAACCGAAGAACGAGAGGCTGTAACAAACAAGAAGAAGAGCCGAAAGCGTTTATTAAGACGCCCTCTGTGAAACCCTCTGTTTCTGATGAGATCGGATGGGGGGATTTCGGGGAGGTATTTATAGGCGGAAATGCGAGGGAGGAGATGCGAAATTTAACCAGAGGTAGTTGGGGAGGGAACGGACGGCCAGGATTTAGTGGTGGGCTGTCTTTTATGTGGTGCTGGTCTGGCTTAACCACCTCTTCTAACCGCGGTTGGCTTTTCTATCTTATTTTTTGGATATTTAAAGGCTTAAATGCCAAGATGATCTTTTGAGTTTTACATGTGGGGTCAATTTAATTCTCTTATTTTCAATTTGGCCGATTTGGTCTATCCATTTTTAACAATTAGCCAATGGGAACACACCCTATTTTACTTCTCATACATCTTTTTAATTTTCGACCGTCGGATCGGATGAATTGAAGAAGATCAACGGACATGAATTATCAAGAGGTGTGTGAAAAGTAAAATGGGGTGTGTGGATAGCACACCTCTTAGCCAATTTGGTCAATTTCGTTAATGTAATGTTTAATATTTTATTTGAATTATTAAAAACTCTAGTTATTTAAGAAATATGAGAAGCTCAATGTAAAATTTAAGAATAAATAAATAAAAATATAAGTTCCGATTAAAAACTGAAGGTAACATCTCTAACCACGAATGTGGAGTGGGGAATGGAGATCCACAAAGGAGGAGAAGAGGTGCAAATCAATTCTACGAAGGTGGTGGAAGCGAAGATGACTCAGACTGGGGTCGTATAGGTTGGCGTAGGGGAGCAGAAGGTGGAGAGCAACACAACGTCGACGTATCGCTGGAGAAATGAAGCAGATTCGCTGGCAGATGGGAGACCGTGGGGTGAATAAATCACTTCTCATATCATTTCTATTAACAACCAAGGTGCTTGGATATCAAAGTCTTCTGATATGAAAAGGTTGGCTGTGGAGTAGTTTCAGACTTTTTTTTCGCATGGCCATAAGTCTTAAGCAAATGGATTCTCTTCCTAATGTTTTTCCTAATATGCATGATGCTGACCTTGAAGCTCTTAAAAGCCTCTTTAATATTGGAGGCCTTAAAGCTCTAAATATTGATGGTTTTCATGCTTGCTTTTATCAAGGTCAGTGGAATATATGTGCTAATGATATTTTTTAAATTGTATGAAATGTTGTTCGCTTAGGTACTGTTTGGTACGTGGGACGGGATGGAATGGAGTGGGACGAGGCGTTCCATCTCACGTTTGCTGCGCCTAAAACAGGTGGAACGCGCTGTTCCACGGAACAAATTTTTGGTGAATTTTCGTTCCGCCTCACCCCCCCTGGAACGACTCATTCCACATCCATGGAACATAAAATTATAACCTCTCCGTCTCCTTCTTCTTCCTCCTTGTTTCCATCCGAGGGCATCTTTGCTCCCTCTCCGTTCCGTTCCGTCATGTCCGGTCCCATGGTCCCATTCTGTTCTGTCTCATCCCGTCTGCATACCAAACGAAAGGAGATTGCCTGTGGGGCTAAACAGTTTCTGATAACATTGGTCCCTAAAATTGACAATCCTCAAAAGATGTTGAATTTTAGGCCTATCATTCTTTATTGCACTCTTTATAAAGTGATCTCTAAAATCATTGTTGCTAGAATTAGACCTCTCTTACCTCATCTGATTAGTCCTAATCAGGCTAGTTTTGTTCCTGCTAGACAAATTTCTAACAATATTCTCATTGCTCAAGAAATTCTTCACAAGTTTAGAATGTCGAAAGGCCGAAAAGGATTTTTAGCCTAGAAAATCAATATGTCTAAGGTGTATGACATACTAAATTGTGAGTTTATTGAGTATGTGCTGAATGTGGTTGGTTTTCCTTCGAGTTTGGTTCAACTTATGATTGAATGTGTATCCACTAGTAGGTACCAAATTTGTTTTAATGGTGAATTAAGAGATGGTTTTATTCCTCAAAATGGTATTCGGCAAGGGATCCTTTGTTTGTTCTATGTATAGAGGAACTCTCTCATATAATTTATACAACTGTGAATAGAGGAAGGTAGAAACCTGTTAAGGCTTCTCAATCTGGACATGAGGTCTCTCATCTCTTTTTACCGATAATTCAATTATATTCTCTTTTTAAGTAATGGTTGGTGGGGATCTTGATAAGCTCAGAGACGTGTTGCCAGAGGATACGGTTCAAAATGTCATGTGTCAGCCTGATGGTACTACTGGTGCAAGAAATTATTTGGAGAGGTGTTTCTAATGGAGTTTTCAATGTTAAGTCAGCTTATAATTTGTTGTTTGATAGAGAGAATTTGCCTGACTCTTGCTGGGATTTTATTTGGAATAAGGTTCCACCTAAGCGAAAAGTATTTCTTTGGTTGATGAGTAAAGGGAGATTGCTTTCTAACGAGCAGCGAGTTAGAAGACATTTAACTTCTAATTCTTCTTGTAATACTTGTTGCGGAACAATTGGATTCATTGCTCATATTTTCAAAGATTGTCCCAAGGCAAAGTGTATTTGGGAGATTATGGGCATTCCAAGGCAACTGAGGAATGCCCAAAATCTTTATTTTAAGGCTTTGTTGCTGGCAAATCTTAAAGTGAGTTCAAAGGGGGTGCTTGGTGTACTCTTTTCCTTTTTACTTGGTATATTTGGAAAGGGAGAAACAAGCAGATTTTTATGTCAATTTTGGCATGCTTATGTATCCAAAAGTGATCATTGTGAGAGATGTGGCTTTTGTTAAGTCTTCCGTTAAACCTGTCAAGAGACAAATTTCACTTTCTTGGGGATGATCCTGATGTATGTTGGTGTAAGCTAAACGTGGATGGATCTAGAAGGACCAATTCTAGTCGAATTGGGGCTGGTGGCGTACTAAAAGATCATAATGGCGATCGGTTAAGAGGCTTTGCTGTAAATTTGGGACAATGGCAGGTTTGTGATGCTGGATTATGGAGTTTATAATTTGGTTTACAGCTTGCTTTTGATAAGGGTGCTACTGATCTTCGAGATGGATTCCTAGGCTATTGTTATGTTGTTGAAGCGAATTGATAATTTCCTTCCTTTGGGACACATTTATGCATAGTTACAGATTATGATGAGACAATTAAGGAGGTGTGAGTTGAGACACATTTATAGAGAGAAGAATATCGTGACTGATCAGTTGGCTAACTGGAGTTTAATGTAGATATTTGTGTTCTTTATTTGATGGGTCTCTCGTTTGGATTAGACCAGCTCTCATAAATGATGCCGCTGGAGTCCCTCCAACTCGTTTTGCTGTTGTTTTGTAGTTTTCTCTTTGGTTTGTACACTTGTACTCCCCGTTTTTTTGGGTTGTACACTTGTACTCCCCGTTCTTAAAAAAAAAATAAAAAATAAAAAATAAAATAAAATAATGACCCTCCACTTGTAGACGGATAGTTTTTAAATTCAACTTTTTTAGATGCCAACTTTGATATTAAATTTATTACGGTTGGTTTATTAGGTGACAGGTAAATATATCATTTTAATAAATAAATAAAAAACCCTAAACTTCTTATCGTCACGGTGACGATAACTCCCTTCCCTCCTTTTACAAGCCATGTATGTTCAAGCTCTATCAACGAGCTCATATTAATTTGTTGCATAATTCATCATTTGGTTGTAACCACTGCTTAAAATATCAATATGCCAATATATTGAAATATATCAATATCAGTTGACTTTGATGGAAATTATGAAAATTTGCAATGGAGCGAGCATATCAACTCATTCAAATTTAATCGAAATTAGAGAAAATTTTCACAAAAAAAAAAAAAAAAAAATTCAAAGTTCAAAATCTGCAATGGGTTCCTGCAAAATTTTTGTACTGAATCAGTAAACATGGTCGATATTCATTGATTACCACCCACAAGAAACTACTTTTGCTCCTCCTCAAGCCCCAAGCCAGCTCCTGCATTTGTTCACCTTCGAGTTCAGCTACGCTGCCAAACGATACATAAGCAACTGAACCTTTTGGCCTCTCTTGTCATCTTCGAGTCGCTTGTTCAAGTAGTTGGACAGTATAGTTGGTCCAAAGGTCCTCAATCGGCAAAGCTAGTTCAAATTTAGTCCCAGTTCACAACATTTGGGTCCTTTCTTTCTCCGATGTCGAATAAAAAGAACCCTTGTGGAACAAAAAAATTTCCAGCAGAGTTTACTTGACTGAGATCCGGCAACAGAACCAAAGGTTAAATCTTAAACGACACAATACAAGGGGGAAATTATTGTAAGAAATTAACATTGGCAACTCGCATTGCAAATCAAGTAGGCAAAAACAAAACATAGTTTTCAACAGAGCTGAAGCCATTACAACACAAGGTCTTCTGGGCAAACCAACAAACGATACACAAGAATAGAAAAATGACAAACCATAGAAACTTCAATTCAAGACGCTTAGTACTCGTCTTCTCCATCATCCTCACCTTCAGCGGACTCGGCACCAACTTCTTCATAATCCTTCTCAAGGGCAGCAAGATCCTCACGGGCTTCAGAGAACTCTCCTTCCTCCATACCCTCACCCACATACCAGTGCACAAAGGCACGCTTGGCATACATGAGATCAAACTTGTGGTCAATTCTAGAGAACACCTCAGCAACACTGGTCGAGTTAGAGATCATGCACACAGCCCTCTGCACCTTGGCAAGGTCGCCTCCTGGGACAACAGTTGGTGGCTGGTAGTTGATGCCGCACTTGAATCCAGTAGGACACCAGTCCACAAACTGAATGGTGCGCTTGGTCTTGATGGTGGCAACAGCGGCATTCACATCCTTGGGTACAACGTCACCACGGTACATCAGACAGCAGGCCATATATTTGCCGTGGCGGGGGTCACACTTTGCCATCATGGATGAGGGCTCGAAGGCACTGTTGGTGATTTCAGCCACAGAGAGTTGTTCATGGTACGCCTTCTCCGCAGAGATGACTGGTGCATATGAGGAAAGCATAAAGTGGATTCTGGGGTATGGGACCAAGTTGGTCTGGAATTCAGTCACGTCCACATTAAGGGCACCATCAAACCTCAGAGAAGCAGTCAAAGAGGAAATGACCTGAAAACAAAACAGAAACGAAATTTAGTAACAATCCACTTTGTACAAATCAAAGTGATCTAAATTCTGTCTTCGAACTTTTAAACCAGATAGTTGTGTACCTGAGACACAAGGCGGTTGAGGTTGGTGTAGGTGGGTCGCTCAATGTCAAGAGAGCGCCTGCAGATATCATAGATAGCCTCGTTGTCAAGGAGAACAGCAACATCGGTGTGTTCCAGGAGGGAGTGGGTTGAGAGGACACTGTTGTAGGGCTCAACCACAGATGTAGAAACCTGTGGAGATGGATACACAGTGAAACCAAGCTTTGACTTCTTTCCTTAGTCAACAGAGAGACGCTCCAAAAGAAGGGACCCAAGACCAGAGCCGGTTCCTCCACCAACAGCATTGAAAACAAGGAACCCTTGAAGCCCAGTGCAGTTGTCAGCAAGTTTACGGATGCGGTCCAAGCAGAGATCAACAATCTCCTTGCCAATGGTGTAATGACCACGGGCAAAGTTGTTGGCAGCATCTTCCTTGCCACTAATAAGTTGCTCAGGGTGGAAGAGCTGGCGGTAAGTTCCAGTCCTCACTTCATCAATAACAGTGGGCTCAAGATCAACAAAAATAGCGCGAGGCACATGCTTGCCAGCTCCAGTTTCACTGAAGAAGGTGTTGAAGGCATCATCACCTCCACCGATGGTCTTGTCACTAGGCATTTGGCCATCAGGCTGTAAAAGAACACAGAAAATTAACAAACAGCTGAATAACAAATTCAAAGCATTCACATCGACTCGTAACAAATTTTCAAAACAAAGCGCTGTTAAAAGAATTAACCTATTCCATCCAAAAATGATCAGCAAGACACAAGAAGAAAAAAAGCTGACAAAGTGAATAGGATGGACGTAGATTAATTTGAGGGACTTGTTCATCCCAATAGCACTCAAACCACTGCTAACGGGCAGACGTAAAGTCCCAATTACAAAACCAAATGAGACAATATTTCAAAACAATAAATGGCAATCAATCCATTGACGATTTCACCATCACATTTCAATAAAAGCACAAAGTATTGAAAATAAAAAAATCGGTTGAATTAAAATACAATTACAACTCAAACTCCGAATTTTCAGAATATGCAATTTTTCGGTCAATAAAAACAGCACTGAATCATAGATCCAAGGAAAATCAAATGATTTGACAACACCAGTAACATTAATTTTCGCATACAAATCAAAATTAACATTTCTGGGTGTATCCGATGGTCAGAAAACACGAATCTGATCGATAACTGAGTCAAATCCAGATAAAATCACAAAGAATCAGTGCGCAATAGTCACATATCTATCCGAAACCGAACAAATCACAAATCGAAAATGCAAACGTGCATACGAACAAAATCGATAGATAAATGTAGAGAGAGAGAGAGAGAGAGAGAGAGAGAGAGAAAGAGGATACCTGAATGCCATGCTCAAGACAGTAAAGCTCCCAGCAGGCATTGCCGACCTGGATCCCAGCCTGACCGATGTGGATCGAAATGCACTCCCTCATCTTTGCCGATCGAAACCGCGAAACGAAACCGAAGAAATCGAAGAAAGAGAGGCTCTCACAAACAAGAAGAAGAGTCGAAAGCGTTTATTAAGACGCCCTCTGAAACCCCCTCTGTTTTCTGATGAGATCTGATGGGGGGATTTGGGGGAGGTATTTATACGTGGAAATGCCAAGGAGGAGACGGGATGATAAGAAATTTAACCAGAGGTGGGGTAAGGGTTGCTTACGATTGGGGAGGGAACGGACGGCCATGATTGAGTGGTTGGCTGTCTTTGATGTGGTGCTAGTCTGGCTTAACCCACCTCTTTTAACCGCGGTTGGCTTTTCTATCTTATTGTTTAGATTTTTTTTTTTTTTGAACAAATGATATTATTTACCGTAAGAGGATGGAAGAGTTGGCTAAACTTCATAATAGACTAGCAATAATGCGGTTCAAATTCATGTTTTGTAAGAATCGAACCTAAAACCTCTCACTTTATAAGAAGAATATCACTAAACTGTAATACTAAGTGACTTTTTTTTTAGGTAAATTACATAATAGCTCCTCAAGTTTGAGATCTATTACAACCTCGTACAACATCTTTAAAACATTTCACTTTCATACCTCACGTACTAATTTATTTCAAAATAATACATCCGTTACATTTTCTATCCATTAATCCATTAGTGCTGATGTGGCTGCCAACGTGGCAAAAAAATAATTTTTTAATTAAAAAAAACCACCTGAATCTTAAAAAAAAAAAAACTGAAACCCACCTCCCGCAAACAAACCCAGAAACCTCACCCTTCCCCCCGCCCCAACCCACATCCCTCTCCTCCATTCTCTTCACCTCTCCTCTCATAAAAAAAACCCAGCAAACCCCCACCCCACCGCCACGTTCCCCGATCCCTTTCTCCTCTTCACCCCCACCCCCTTTCTCCCTTCTCTCATCTGCAACCCCACCCACCCTTAGCAAACCTAATTCCATTTTCAGACCACCACCAACCAACCACCGAAAAATTTCAAAGGACAAAATTAAATACATACCTCGTTGTTAGAGTCGACTGATGAGCAAGGTTCGAGATGCAAAGAGGAGAAAATGGTGGGTGAAGGGATAAAGGGGGTAGGGGTCGAGTTCTGGGTGAGGGGGTGGTGGGCGCATGAGGAGGGGGCGAGGGGAGGGTGAGGTGCGTCGCGCGTGAGCGGGAAGGGGGGCCGAATGAGGGTGGTGGGTTCTGGCTGAGGTGGGTCTGGAAGGCGGGGTAAGGTCTCTGTTAGTTAGGTGGGTGGGGGTGGGTGGGGGAAAACGGAACGGATTTGGGTTGTGGGGTGGGGAAAAAGGATCTGGGTTTTTGGGGGGTTGCGGGGAGATGGGATGGGTTTAAGTTTTTTTTTTTTTTTAAATGAGAAAATTTAGGTTTTAAAAAAAAAATATTATTTTTGCCATGTGGCACACATTTGGAAGCCACGTCAGCACTTAACAGATCAATGGATGGAAAATGTAACAGATGTATTATATTGAAATAAAATAGTACATGAGGTATGAAAGTGAAATGTTTTAAATATATTGTATGGAGCTGTAATAGATCTCAAACATGAGGGGCTACTATGTAATTTACCCTATTTTTTTAGTTTTTTTAAATTAAATTTTGCCCCTGAAGAGAGTTTATTGTGGAAATTGGACCAGATCAACGACTCCTATGGTCCGTGAATTTTCAAAGGTAAAAATCCCCTACATTCTTTTCTCTTTTCTAGATTTATTGTTTTTATTTGAATTCACGAAAGAATTTAACTATGAGAACTCCATTATTTTCTATTTTCTTGTATCGGATTTTCCATCTTCCAATAATTGCTTATGTAAGAAAATATTGGGGCAAAACTTTGATCGGCTCAACTCAACTTTGCTTATACCAATCATTTTAAACTAAAATTGAGTTTTTATGTTTTCATCTAAATAAAACTGCCTGATTTACAGTTCGACTCATACGTATTTGGTTACTAATTGAAGCTTGTGGGTCACAAAAAGTAAGAGAATATATGAAGAAAAAAAGTATTACACGGGAATAAGAAATATATGAACTTGGAAAATTGACGTGGCCCTTGTGCGGCAGCACAGATGGCCTTGCCTTGCCCATAAAACTCGCCCAATTTTATGCGCAAAACTAAAGCAATCCCGGGACCCCAAATCCAACCACCGCAATACAAGTTTGTGTCACTGACAACTATGGATTACCTTTACCCTTGGGATTGTAATTATAGTGGCATATATCATTGGATAACGATTTCCGTAAATTTTTCTACTTCTACGTGCTTGTGTTTATATTTATTTTTGTTCATAGTAAAAAATAAAAAGGAATGCGTAGGGAGACAAAAAAAAGGTCTCATAAGCTTTTAAAACTACATACTAAAATTTCATATCGATCCGACGGTTGATTTTTACCAATCGCAAACTTAGATGGTGTTCCACAATGAAACTATGTTAAACGACGGAATTTCGCTAAACGGATGCCAAAAATGGAATCAAGGTATCGAAATTAGCCAAGGACAACATTTTAGATTTTTCGGCATCAAGCCGCCACCTCGCACCGCCGTCGCCTGGCAACTTGCCGCTGTGCGCCACCATACGCGTGGCCTGGGCTCGTTGGAATATTCCTTTTGTGGATAGAATTTCGTTAAAACTAATGAAATATTTGAGGAGTATACCTAACTGGTTTTCTGGAGAATTTTCAAATCATCATATCTTCTTTATTTTTCAACCAAATATGAAATTTCATCCACACACATTAGGAATCGATTTATACATGTTTAAAGTCTAAAAGATGGCTGGAATATGTATGATATTGATGAGAAACTCTCGGCCCGTTTTGAAGCTCATTGTTCCTTGATTTTTCTTTAGTGTTTCTCGAAACAAAACCCATGGCTGGGTTCGAAAGGACGTGAGGAATAAGAATATGGTAATCTGATGGTTGTTAATTAAAATAGAGGGAATTGAATTGAGGAGGAATCAGAATCAGATTCTTATATAAGCTATCTACTAAACTGTCAGAAATCAGAATATAAATAATGAAATCGGTATTAAAACTAGTTTAATTTCTAAACTGCCCATGTCCTAAAGAAATTCATTTATGGGCTAGTTAATAAATTTTAATTTTCAAAACAACATAAACGTAGACTTAATTTTATATAAATTTTTTTTTAACTAAATAAATAAGTTGGTAAATAAATAAATAAACAAATAAGATAAAGTATAGAAAGAAAGAAGGGAAGGAAGAAAGAAAAAAAATCCAGGCCATCACCTTGAACGAGAACAAACAATTACATATTTTTCCATCATGAATAGGTGGCTGCGGTGCTGGGCATTTGTAGGAGTTATAAGGGTGGCCGCGATGGTCAGGGAAAGGTAGGAGTGTCTCTGGGCTGGCGTGGTGTAGGCTCTGTTATAGCAACTCCTCCCAGGCAATCCACTATTGAATCCACTATTGAATCCACCTTATTGAACAGTAACTGTCTTTAATGAACAGTAATTGTCCTTAATAAACAGTAATTGTCATTTGCATCTCCACCCTTGGAGCCCTCCCCCTGGCAATAGGCAATAAAATATTAGTTTTTTTTGTTTGTTTAAATAATACAAAATAAAATTACTTGCAATTTCGGATAAGATTTTTTAAATCGTTCTCGTTGAATTTCGATAAGATTTTTATCCAATGTCATCGTGCCACGTGTCGTTATCTTTTGAGAATCTTGTCTAAAGATTTCGATCAGATTTTAACTCGTTCAAAATTGCGCCACGTGACATTATCTGAAAAGATAATTATTAGAGATCGATTTCGATAAGATTTTTATCCAATACGATCGTGCCATGTGTCATTATCTTTTCAGAATCTTTGAGTATAGATTTCGATCAAATTTTTAACGAATGATGGCATGCCACGTGGCCTTATCTACAATCCAATCCTTTCTGAATCGTCCATATAATCTACCATCCATCCTTACAAATCTCACACCAATTTTCTCAACATCTCTATATCATTATTCATAGTTTCTGCTTCTTCTTCACCATCCATCCTTACAATGTCTTCTTCTTCATCAAGGATGATGTGGGAAATCGATCAGTAAGAGGAAGAATTGTTTAACCAATCTGAAGGAATGTTCAACCTTCAGATAGCCGAAAATGAGATGGAAGAGGATGAGGAGCATAGAAGAAGAGATGACGAAACAAGAATGGCCAGAGCCTCACATTCCCATCGAGTCATCCAGACTGTTGCTCAGATATGCAGGCACAGCCGTTCAAGAAACCTTGATAGAAGTAGGCAACGACGGGGTGAAGAGCTGTTGGACATTTACTTTGTCTATAACAGTGCATTTCCTGATACGTACTTCAGACGTCGTTTTAGAATGGAACGACATTTGTTCAACAGAATCATGACTGATGTTTACAACCATGATTCTTACTTTGTGCAAAAGAAGGATGCTTGTGGTGTTATGGGTCTCATACCTCAGTAAAAAATCACTGCTGCGTTGCGGATGCTTGCGTATGGAGCATCTGCAGACCAAGTGGATGAGATAACGAGGATGGGAAAATCAACCATTCTTGAGGCTCTGATGAGGTTTTGCAGAGCAATCGAATCTTTGTACACCGCAGAGTACCTCCGAAAACCTACTCACATGGACTTGCAAAGGCTTCTGAAGAAGGGCGAGATGCGAGGTTTTCCTGGGATGATAGGAAGCATCGATTGTATGCACTGGACGTGGAAAAATTGTCCAAGTGCATGGCAAGGCGCATATGGGGACAGAAAAGGAGCAAAATCTATCATTTTGGAGGCAGTGGCATCTTTTGATACATGGATATGGCACGCCTTTTTCGGGGTTCCAGGGGCACAAAATGATCTCAACGTCCTTGCCCAATCCCCAGTGTTCAACGACGTCCTGCAAGGAAAGGCACAAAAGTCACGTACGTCGTCAACGGACGTAGGTACGACGGGCCATACTACCTAGCTGACAGCATTTACCCACGGTGGGAAACATTTGTCAAAACAGTGCCGCGTCCGCGAAGTGCAAAGGAAAAACACACTTTGCAAGCTGTCAAGAGGGGTGCAGGAAGGATGTGGAGCGTTGTTTTGGTATCCTTCAAGCTCGTTGGGCGATTGTCAAGGGTGTTGCCAGAATGTGTTCGA